GTTAGCTCCATCCGGGGCCGTGGGACCGGGGTTCAAGCTCAGCTGCTTGGCCTCTGGGACGTGAGCGCGTAGCCCAGGCAGGTGTAATTGTCTTCCTGGGCCCTTCAAACAGCTATAATTAATCAGAGCAGCAAAGAAAACAGGACTTCAAAGGGCACAGCCCATCCCCTCCCACGGCCAGCGTCTAATATAGGGCAGATGAATCACATCTGAGAAGGGTTCGGCAGGATGAATCCCACTGGGAGGTACAAGCTGCCATACGGATCTGACCCAGGAGATGGTGCTGCTTCCAGCTGAGAAACCTCTCCCAGCACCAACATCCCCCTCCCTGTGCCGCAGTGGACACCAGGTCCCTCCCCGCACCCCTCTCCCATCTCTCTGGCTTTTTCTAAGGGCTCCCAACCACCACGGAAGAGGAAAAGAAGCTGAAGAACTGGCTCTTGTGGTTGCAAAAGGGAGATCTTGCTGCCTCCCAGCCCCAGGTCCCCAGGGCCACCCGCCCCAGGGACAAGCTGGGTTGGGCTGGCACCTGCATATCACTGCAGGGATGTAGCAGAAGGACATGTCCCCTCCATGCCACCTCCGTCCCCAGCAAGCACAGGGATGTGGGACCCCCAGGCCACCCTCCCTCCTGCAGCCCATGGGCTGATCTCTTCCTAACGCGCATCAGAGACTCACTGTGTTGGGCATGTGGACTTCAGGGTTCATATAGCCCAAAACGTCATCCAGGCGCATGATGTCATCGATGACCTCATCGAACTGAAAGGGAAAGACATAAGTTATCAATGGGTTTCATTGTCTTTTCCAGCACTTTTGCCTCCCCCAGCAGCTTGGTGGCACCTCCTCACCTCCCGCTCAGGGTTGGAGCCAATGTTGAGCATGGCCATGGGGCTGTTGGGTGCACTATTGCCAGCCGAGGAGGACATGACATGGCCAGGTCGGACACCGGGGGACGCGGCGGGGGGTGGCTTGGGAGAGTGGCTGGCGGGGCTGACGTGAGCAGCAAACTTGTTCCCATAGGTTTCAGAGAGATAAGCCTGAACCTTCTTGTCCCGTGACTTCTGCAGGTGGTACGTGGTGGGGTTCTCCAGGTAGGACTGGACCTGCAAGGAGACAAACCATCAGGGACCTCCAAGGGGGTCTCCTGCACCCCTTTGTCCCTGGGGTTGGGGGGGACATTGTACCTTGAGGACCTCTCCAGGCACGGGTGGTGGGGACTGGTAGTGGACGGGGGTGTTGATGGCTGGGGTGGAGGCCACCGGCATCC